AATATGACATGATCATCGTTACCTATATTCCTATCAAATGATAAAATCGCAGAGATACTACTAAATTGTTGATGTGATGGTTGCCAATAAGCTCACCCAGTTCCTTCAATGTTCCTGATTATAAGAAAGAAAATGATATCCTGAACTTCTTTAAATAGTGGCGAAACTTTGTTATGACTCTAAAATTTGAATGGCCAGTTAAAGTAAGCTAACGCATCGATCGTCACCATTCGCGAAGAAAGCGAGTCACAAGTCAGTTGAGTGTTTTGTAAGAGCAACTTTCCAGACCAACCACGTACAACTTAAAGAAATAATACGCATGGATTCATTCGATTCCACATCATGACTCATCGTGCAGAAGAATCATTCAATTCTAAGGCAAACACCAACTAAGTGATTAAACGAAAAGCTAAAATGTCTCATTATACTGGGCAATGCACTGCTCTGAAAACATCACTTTCTTAAAAAAGCTGGGTACGAAAGGTGATTCTCGTACATCTCCTATTGATAATGATTATTTTCCATAATGACGCCAGTGGTATTTAATTGCTATACATCGACTACTTTTATTTGATTTATTGGCCAACACAGCGCATTGGCAATAGGTTCCTTGTGACGCACATGTGGCCTTTGGTACGATCACGTGCTGGACTAACCAAACCTCTATCCACCTTCTGATTCCATGAGTACCAAATGTACGTGAAGAAATCTCTCTCCAATTCACAAAAGGTGGCAGCATCCAACGTTGAAGGTCTGAGAACGTCATAGCAGACCCATATCAGAATTTCAAAATAAAACCAACCAACCGACCGTGAGGGAGACAACGTTTCCAAGTAGCAGATCCCACACCCAAATTCAGAGGCCTATTTCGGTTGCGTATGCAAGGCACTAAGCCAACGCCTGACAGATATCCGAATTTTCCATGTCATTGATTTCTAGTTTATGACGTAGGTCTGAACTTCGAAGCCCCTTCCTCATGTGCGTGATACAGGGTACTCCTAGTATTGTCTTCCCAACTGCGCTTTCTATAACCCTAAGTGATCTTTCACTTCGCATGCGCAGCGACCAGGTTTTTGACGCACACTTAATCCAAAAAAAACTTATGAGGTCGAAAATGTAGGTAAGAAGTCGGGTCTTCTTTGTTCTCCACACTATATCCTCGTTCCTATTGAAAGCTCTACACGCCACCCACTTCCTCCTGTTCAATCCTGGGACTAGGTCGTTTATCATGTTGAATTCTCTACTCAGATTGGCGTAATTGGAGGGCTCGGAGTTATTCACCCCGTTGAGCTTGAACGAGGAATAAGAAATCAGCCTATTCCTTATGAAAATATTCGCAAGACTGACCTTCTGTTAACCTCGGCGTTGATTGGTAATTCGATGTTTATGTTCAAAAAGCAGACACGAGGTCTTTTAAGGTTACTTTAGCATTCGACCTAATAGAATCGCCAATCAAAATTGACCCACCCACTATTCTCCTCCAAAAGGAACCCTCCAAATACTGACTGAACACAGTAAGATTCCTTCGACTTGCACTTCTTCAACTGCGCATACATGGTGTCCTGTCTGCAACGAAGAGAAGCAGGTAGTAGTCGCATTTCGATGTCCAGTACTTGCTGGCTGTCCCTTGGTAGGCAGCAAACATCATGTACTCGTTTTCGTTTGGTGATGTTCGTCACGATTTGGTGTTTCAGCAGCGACGGAGAAAGAGTGTCGTTTGTCTAGCTAAGGCAATTTTTGTCTTAGTGAGAGGTCTTCTTTTACAAGTCGGAAATATTCTGCTGCCACTTCGCGTAACAATTCCCAAGACCGACTTTCTGTTAGCCTCAGTATTGATTGATAAGTCGATGTTTTTATGAAACACTTAACTTGAGATGTTTATCACGCTACGTTCCAGATAATGAAATACCGACCTCTGAAGAATGCATTGCAACCCAGAAATCCAGATTATATTGCATGGCGGCAATAGATCAGAATCACTCCTGCAAAAGAAGACACCATCGAGTGAGATTTTTCATTCGATCGATGCCCCAATTCACTGTATTCGGTGTATTGAACAAAGTAGGTGTCATATAAAAATATCATAAAAATGTGATGTAAAAATGGTTCATTCGAGTTGGCACAAAAGATAGGAGTACTCATGAGGGAAGCCGTGGATGTCCTTCAGCAGTAGAAGACGAGAAGATGGTCACCTTAATCTGTAAACCAAGGGTACTTTTCAGAAATTATCTGAGCTGTTAAGCAAAAACTCAACCCTCGTGAATTTGAAAATCGTTAATATTTTGGAAGGCGTTGGGAGATTTTTCGAAGACCGATAAATGAGCGAATTGACGTAAGATCGTCCTCTAGATTTCTTGCGCTCTTTTCACAATAAAAAATGACATAATCACATAATTCGTTGGTTCATTATAAGTGAAATAAAAAGTGGATTTTACTCGGTAACAGACCATGATCAGTTGTATCGCATGACTAAGACGAAGTAACTAGAAATTTTTCATAGTTGAGTTTCCTTCATAAGTGGTTACTGTGACTTTTTGGAACCATCCAATAAGATCGGTGGAATTCTGCAAAGACTGCAAAGAAGTGGTTCAGTCACTTTTCCACAGCGCTCGACCACTCTTTGCACAGCTGGCGTTGAAAAAGTCAGAAAATGGAAACTTGAAAAGAAGAATCAATTTCCAAAACCTTTTCCTGAAGTCATATTCAATGGATCTCTAGTCGCTTAACTGCCTCCTTTCACTGAGCTCGACAGCTGCTTGGAGGAGTAAATCTTCAACAACCAAGCTGTTAGTTAAAATGCATTCAAAAATCGATCGCTTAAAATGTTTAGAGTTTTATATCAATGGGAGAAACAAACTTGTATCTTACTAATGAAACTCACAAATTGAAGTGTCTGTTATTTTACGTAATAAAGTAGTACGTGAGCTTTGTCATAATAGTTTTAAACCATATTCTAATTCCGAAATTACTTTTGCATCAGCTAAACTCTGGTTGGTATCATTACCAAAAATAACTCTGCTATACCTGATTCCCACTACCGTTCCCTTCACTGTTATTGGTATTTATTACAACCGTAATTATTAATTCTAATTTTGTTCCCATATTGATGCTGAGATCCACGGATCTTCCTCATCTGAGGAATCTCGAGCCGGTTAGTCGCGAGGCTACGTGGCGCGCCCCCAGGTGGCGCATAGCGGGTTAATCGCGGACCAAAAGCGACCTCTGCTTCCCTGAGACGCAGGTGTATCCGGCGAATGGACTTCCTGTTTCTGCTGCCCTGCTTTGGCACATACTTTCTGTATTTGCTAGCGTATTCAAGCATGCGTGCGTGGGTGCGTTCTTGCTTATGTGGAATATATTCCACGAGTCTATTCGGACAAAAGCCTGCAATCAAGTGACTGGGAAGTATATGGGAGAGGGTTAGGAGTTGCTTCCAACAAATAAGCTCCATGCTCACTCTGGGAGAGCTCGGCAAGCCACCTGTGAGTATACCCAGCCCCCACGTTTAGAGCCCAGCAAGCTACACGTGGGTATCAAAATGCTAAACACAGTGAAAGAAACGCGTCTCATTTCTCTGACCCTAAAAGAGCCCCCAATTTGGCAGCGTGAGGCAAGACGAGTACGGAGAGGCTGCTAAAATTTCAGTGCCAACGGAAGCTGCCTGGATTTCAAAGGACTGTGGTGACGATATGTACCTACAATGCACGTACACTTACATCCGAGTCCTCGATGGAAGACTTGCTCATGCAAGCAAAAAGGATATGATACGACTTCATCGGTCTGGCTGAGACGAGACAACGCCACACACTCAGCGCCATATATGACACCAGAAAAGAGCTGTCTGTAAAACGTCACATTGGGAACTGTGGATTAGAATAGAGTGAACATGATGAGCAGCTCTCTGAGTTTATCATGGCCACCAAGACCATCCATGGTAACTCGCAATTACAGAAGCCCCACCCACCACGCTGGATGTGGGAGTCTCCCAATGGAGAGTACCGCAACACTCGAGCTGATACGCTGGCATGGAATCGCACGAGCTGCAGGCACCCACGAACTGACGTTCGAACTTGCAAAACAATGCACACAGGCGACACAAGAAGATCTTAAGGAGAGAAGAGCAGCAGTAATGGTCGAAGTTGCAGAGGCTGGGAAAAGCATTCGCAATGTCCACTGAAGCTTCACCAATTCCAGGACCAAGGTGATTGCACTCCGACGCCCAGACGGAACAGTTACAGCGCCCAGAAAGGCAATGGAGAAGATCATTCACGAATACTACTCAGATCCTTTCAATAGCCATGTCCACCTTCCGTCATATGAAATAAATGAGGATGGATATGTTGTACCACCGGTTCTCTCTTCCGAAATCCGACATGCCATTTCACCGGTGAAAAATCGAACATCACCAGGCCCAAACAGGATAAGACCAAAACACCTGAGGAACCTTCCGCCAGTCCTCGTAAACACACTGGCTCGGTTCTTTACACGTTATCTGTCTGAATGCAAGGTCCCACTTAGTGGGAGACCAGCAAGACCGTGTTATTGTTCAAGAAGGGTGACCTACACTATATTGGCAGCTATCGCCTAATCTTCTTACTGCCTGTTGTCTACAAACTTTTTACTCCAGCCATCTTAAACAGGACTGACAGAACACTAGACGAAGGACAGGCATGTGAGCAGGCAAGGTTTCGAAAAGGATTTTGTACGATGGACCACATCTACACGGTAACAAGACTCATTGAAGTATCGCGAGAGTATAGAAAACTGATCTGTCTCACTTTCATCGATTTACAGAAGGCCTTTTATTCAAATGAGAAAGAAGCAGTCATGGAAGCCCTTGATAGTCAAGAAGTTCCTACTCAGTATATTAGGATTCTTCGTGAGCTGTACAAAAATTTCACAACCAAGGTATCACCATTCTACAACGATATTAACATTGACGTCAAAAGGGGAGTTAGGCGGGGCGGTCAAAAGTACCTACCACCGCCCTCCAGAACGTTATGCGAACATTGGAATGGGATAATATGGGAGTGAAAATCGATGGTCGGCAGTTGCACCATATTCGCTTTGTTGATGTCATCGTCCTTATAACACCAAACATTGAGCAAGCGAAACGTATGCTTGCCGACTTTGATAAGGCTTGCGGAAAGATTGTTCTTCGACAAAATCTCACAAAAACGATGTTCATGAAGAACGGATTGGTTTCGTATGCACCATTCACGCTTAACGGGACGGATATCTCCGAATGATTCAGTTATATCTATCTAGGTCGGGAAATCAATATGTTGAACGACCTAGCTCCAGAGCTAAGCAAACGGAAACGAGCGGCTTGGGGAGCCTTCAAGAGCATTGAGGATGTAGCGAAGAGGACAATGAACACCCGACTCTGTGGCCACCTTTTCGACTCAACGGTACTTCTTGCGCTAACGCATGCGTCATAAACCTGGTAGCTGCGTAAGCAGGATGAAAGACCAAAGGGTCAGAGTTCTTTAAGAAGAGCCTAGAAGAACGATATAGTGCTCGACTAGTTGCTAGAGCGAGCAGAACCCACTGGGCTACTCTTGCACGCGACAGGGAAAAATGGAAGATTTACAAGCACCCGCTCCTGTCACTCGACGATCAGAGGAACCACGGGTGATACAGGTGACTGAGATATTTGAAAAACTGCGAAACTCAGGTGTCTGCGGTGGGAAACGAACGCGCTGTTACCCCTTCCGGAGGCTAACGCGTTCACCACCACACCATGCAGGTCATTCGTTTCTTCTCTCTCAGCTAGTTCTATCGATCTGTGCGTCAGCAATCACCCGTCAACAGGATTGATCTAGGGAGCCCAAATCGACGACGAACCCAGTTAAGCTGAGGATGTACTCGAAACTGTTTGAAATTTGTTTCCATTGTTGCTGTTCATGTTAATTTTGCAGTTATTATAACAAGATTATTGTTAGAACCACTTGTGTTACCTCCTTATAAAGAAAATCGGTATAAATAGCAAAATAACGGTAACAAAGAGGACCCAAATATCGGCATAAGAATTCTTTGAGAAGCTTTAGCCAACATGTTTATAACTACATGGCTTACGTGTAGGCTATAAATGGCCTGAAATATTATATTTTGCTCCTCCAATTCAAGAAATTTGAGTTTGAGGTGTAAATCTTGCACCTTTGGCGATAAGGCTTAGGTCCTTTTCACTTTAGTTTTGATTCTTACAACTCCAAAATTTTATTACCAGGTCAATAAACTGTATACGTATATATATATATATACATATATATGTGCATATATATATATATATATGTTTATATGTTTATATATATGGGGCGGGTGTAAACCAGTAATTAGAGGCGCTTTGCAATACACATGGGATGGATTTCTCGCCCTAGCTCACCAAACCCTCCATCACTTCGGAGCCAGCGGATTTACACGGAACCTGTCCGGGAGGATGACAGCACTGCCTGGATAAATCGTAGGTTATTGCGTATCATTATAAAGGCGAGATATGCATTTACTCACCTCTAACGACGTTCAGCGAAGTCGAACGCAGGGCGAATCTTTCAGAGTTGGATCAACGCTAAAAGCTTTTTTCTTTATATATATATTATATATACATACATATTTTTATGCATACCCAAATTTTCGAAACGACAAGGTATTGTTATATGCATAAGCAGAAAACAGCAAAGTTTCTTCCTTCAATTTGTAACGTTCTTAACTGCTTAAACACTTTGACTATCGACAAACATTCCGCCGTCACCGATAAAATAGCGCAACCGCGTTTCCATCGAAAATTTACTCACTAAATCGAATAGGTTATTCTATATTGAGGACAAGGGCCCGTGTGGGGCAGTGGTCGGAGGCACCCTACAACACACATGTGGAATCGATTCCCACCCCATGGCCCACCAAGCCTCCCATCCCTCCGGGGTCAGCAAATTGGTGCCAGACTTGTCTGGTAGGATAGCAGCACTGAGTCGATATACCGGTAAAACACCGTAAGTCATTGTGAAGGCCAGATATGCATTCAATCACCTCCATGCGATTCCCAATGAAGTCGAATGCATGGCGCATCCCTCAGGAATTGATCAACTCCGAGAGCTTCATCCATTATCCTTTATATTGAGGACATCAGTGTGCTTTCATAAATAAATTCGTTAGACCTACATGGATGAATTCATACAAACTGCTCGCTACTGCTCTATCGTTTTTCTAGCGGATCGCACTTATAAGCTGATAGGAATCTCCTTTAAGTTAAGTTTTTTTAAAGTTTTAAGTTGTGAATTCTTAGCAAAAAAATTGTATATTCATAAAATCCGCGCCTCAAAAGTTGGTGCTATATGCCTCCACTACTGCGTGACCTTTCGCATCTCTAATTGCTAGTTGAAGGTCAAAAGAAGGAGTCGGAGGGTGAGGATTTCTCCAACGAGACTGTTTTACTTCGTTAATGGTGTTGTGGAAACATTTGAAGTTGAAGCGTTTCTGCTACTGATTTCACAGAACATTGTTGGACTTTCTGTTTTTCCTGCTATTCTTCAGAGTGGTTGAGAGCTGGAAATTATATCCATAGTGTTTCGAAACAAATATTCGCTTTCTGACATTAGTTTGCTCATTATCTATTTTTTTGTTTCTTTTTTATCTTGACATATTGTTACGTTCCTTTGCAGAATGCAAGGGTTCTAAATTAGTCATGCAGCTTCTTAGCAACAAGAATTATTCCATTCCTCCACGAGATCACAACCGATGTACGAAAGGGATCCGGCCGTATCCATTTTCTCCATTCTTTAAGCGAAAAAAGAAAACACTAAATAGGTGCGGAGAGTGCTGAGCAATTTCAGCAGCCCGTGTGAAAAAGCAAGCTTTCTGCTGAATCGCAAGAAAAGAATGTATACGAGATGGATTCCTTTCTTAATGACAGACGCGTTCGTGAGTGAACAAAACATTTCGCTAACTGTTTCATCTATTTGTATGGTTTTGGGAAAGTTATGTAGTGGACAACAATTTTTTTGCGATCTGAACATTACCATACCTCAGCGACATGGTCTCAAACCTAGATGAGTTCGACAATGGAATGTAATCTCTACGAAACTATTAATCTACAGCTACTTTCAAAAATGTTGTAAAAATGTACAAACGGGATAACATGCTGCGAAAGCAGCTGTGTAATTTGGAAGCACAACGCCAGATCAGTGACAGTGTCGCGTAATCATATCATCTGGACACTTAGTGCTTTTTAAACGTGATCATCAGTAATAGTAACTAGCGATTTGGTCTCACTGCATGTTGACGGCACCGCACAAAGCCTAAAAAACTGGTTGTCAGGCTTTTGACAAAAATTCTTTAAAATAAATCTGATGTTGTACTAGCTTGCAGGTACCGTAGTAATACAACACTAAAAACTGACTGGCATAAATAATCAATATTTTTTTGTATTATTAACGGAAAAAGGTCGGTAATAATTTTTATTTTGTTAAAGCTTCGATGCTTTCATCTTCTTCAGATTTTGGACTGGTTTCAATGTGACAGCGAACAACCACATCGAGAGGAGGACCACCTGTGGACCATCGACTCGAATAAATCCGGGTCTGAAGGAGACAGAAACGTCGAAACGTTGCCCTAAAGGGTCTTTTCTATCAACATAATACTGACTTGGTAATCTAAAAAGGCACTGGTTACTTTTGCAGAAGCTTGAGAAAAGTCGGTTTTAAGATGTTTTGGTTAGATCTAGTGGCGGATCATTCTTTACTCAAGCGTTAGAGAAATTGGCTAGCACTATCTCTACCTGGTTAATGCTTGGTGTTATTGTTATAAGAACAATGTCATCAGTAAACCTAAGATGGTATAATAGCCGACCATGGATTTTCACTTCCACATTATCTCATTCCAATGTTCGCATGACGTTCTCGAGAGCAGCGGGAGATAATTTTGGGGAGGTGGTATCGCCTTGCCTAACGCCTCCTTTGACGTCGATGTTAATGCCATTTTTGAATGGTGATGTTTCGTTTGCCCAATTTCATACACTTCACGGAAAAATCTTTTGTACTAAGTAGGGACTCCCTGACTGTCCAGGGCTTCCATGACTGCTTCTGTCTCAACTAAACTTTTTTTCAAATCTATAGAAGCGCGATACAACGATCTCTTGTAATCTGGCGTTACTTCAATAACACTTTCTATCCTTTGGATTTGGTCAAACGTACTGAATCCTTTTCAAAACCCTGCCCGCTTACATGGCTGTCCTTCGTCTAGCGTTTGTTTCCTATTTATTATGAACGGAGTGGAGGGTTTATAGATGGCAGACAGCACGCAGATTAGGCAGTGGTTGCCGATGTCGGCGAGGTCACTCTTGTTGAACAAGAGCACAGTGTTGCTGTATCTTCCACTGAATATGGTCCTTGAATTTAGGCAAATAATATGTAAACAATTGAACCAGTAAAATAAGGACTGGCGGTAGGTTCACCAGAGGTTCAAATCTTATCCTCTCCGAAACAGGTGTATTCCATTCTTCACCGATAAAGTGGCATGTCGGATTTCGAAGAGAAGAACCGCTAGGACGGTCTTTTCATTCTCTTTTATTTTACATTAGCAAAGGAGAAAGTGGCTTCTTATAGGATCCGAGTACTAACTGTGAGCGATTTTCTCCATTGCTTTTCCTTCTGGAGACAAAAGCCTCTTGCTGACCGACCCCTGCTGACTTTTGAGCTCTCAGGATTCCTGTAGCGAACATGTAGATGCTGAGTGGGCTAATCGTGTTCCTCGTCGATGTTGCCAATAACACCATCTTTTCAAGAATCGACCAGTGATCTAAATAAGTCCAAGTTTTCGTTCCTCGTTTTTTGAATTTAGTGACTTTTTCTCTGGCAGTAAGAAGTAAAATCTTTTACGAAGAAAGCAGTGATCTGGATCCGCTTTAGATTTTGAGAAAACAGTAATGACATTTATGCAAAACTCACAATTTACTTTCCCGTTGCCTATTTCATTAGGAATACTCTCCATTAGAACACTTTCACTTCCAACGTCGTGTATGGCGCTTCCATAACTGTGAGCTACGATTAATGGAATTGGTCATTATGTTAAACCTAGATATTCGCTCACTCTGATTGCACCACCCTAACAAGTGAGTCTTAATGTGCTACTCTTTAAAAGTGTTCGGTCTAGCCATTAAAACCATCTTTGATAATCTTAAAGAGTGTATTCTCCTTCCTGTAGAACTTCTCTAAGTGCATATAGAACACTTCGACTTCGGCTTCGTAATAACTTG